ATTAAGGGACCCCAAACGAACTGGGGGGTGATGAGTAATTTCGGCGAAACTTCGCGCAATTAGGGAACCCTACGCTAATCGGGATCCAAGAATTTGCAAAATGTGGGAGGTTAAGCTGGAAAACTATAACAGGAAAACAGAGCGACAACAAGCGACAATGTGCAATGATTGCAAGAAATAAGGGTTGAAGGAAAATTAGAAGCTGCCCGTCTGACAGCTGGACTAAGCACGCGAGAGAGAGAGAAGGAAACACAACAATAACAACATCTCGGGTCAAGCAAAAAGGAGCGGGGATTTTATACATCCGCCTGAGCACCTGACAAATTGAGCGAGCGTTCTTCAGTAGTCTACTCCAATACAGAAAAGGCGTTGCTGGCCTGCTGCCTTTGGCCCCTCACTATCCCTGAGCCCATAGACTTGCTGGTTGTGAGTAGGGAAGAAGGGAACATAATCCCTTTATAACCCCCATATTCCCATATTCCCTACTACCACCCCAACATATACACCGATAAAATCCCCAAATGCTCGCTACTAACCCCACAGTAAGTAGAAGGACTGGAACCTTCGGAATGACGAGCTCGCCCCGCTGGTTTCTCCGCAGAATGCTTTTCTGTCCGAGAACTGGAAGCAGCTTCCTCCCGCTCAGACAGAATGTCGGTCGTTTAGGGTTTAGGGTCTTTTGGATTAAAGTTTGAGGGTTTGGTGTTTAGGGGTTTAGGGTTTTGGTGTTTAGGGGTTTAGGGTTATACCTCTATAAACTCCATATAGAAAATCTATACATAGCCCCTATCTAATATGATGACCTTTTACGCAGTCAACTTGCGAGCGATTGCCTTGATCGATTTCATCACCTGCCTCAAGCCACAAATGTAAAGATGGCAAGACTAAAGGTCCTCCGATATGAAATAGGGATTATCTCCCCCAAACATGGAACCCTAAATGGTAGTTTCGCAAAATAGGGTGACCCCAATATAGACCCAAAAATATTGTATTCCTTCTTGCAGGGACTCCCAAAAAGGTACCGCTAATTTTGGGAAACCGCCATATAGCCCAGTCCGCCCAGTAGCTCCCCCGAAAATATCTAGCTTCTTGCAGGCAGGCATGCAGCAAACTTACCTGCCATCCGACTTTCCGCTCCATTTTTTCAGGAAACCGTCCATGAACAGAGAGGGAAGCAAGCGCCAGCTGTAATCGACCACTCCCTGGTTGGAAGGTCTAAAGTTATTGTGGTGATTTCGTGGCAGAAAGTTTATGGTGACTCCCAGGTGAGTCATGACTTTCTGATAACAAGCCAGGATCCCCCAGCATTGCATTCAGATTTGCATCGCAGTCACTTGTCTGTGAAATGACATCAAAGAAAGGAAGAAACACATCTGGACCGTGAATTCCAAACAAGCTGCAGGCAAGAGGCGATAAGAGAGGTGGACTCTCTGGTGCGCATGGATCACGCCACCTACATGAATTCCCTTACCCTGCAGCGCCTGGGATGATGAGTGGTACAGTTTTCGGGGTCAGCCGTTGGGGACTAGGAAAGGGGCGTAAGCACCGATAGGGAGAACAATAGTCACATCTAAGGCTTGGGAACTTGTGGTTCTTTTCCCTTGCATGAAGTCTCCCCTCTTTGTCTGGGCCATTGCGCTTCATGCCTCACTTGGTATACGGCTAGAATGTCCAAAGCCATTCTATTTAGGCCTATAGTCCATTATAGTCCAAACTCCTAAAAAGGGGGATTATATAGGGGATCATGGGGGTTATATATTAAGGGGGAGACCAGGAGTTTAGACAATGGTTCATGTAGTAGTTTCCCAAAATAAGGGGACCCCAATACAGCCCCCAAAATACTACAATCCTTATTGTGGGGACCCCCAAAATTGTACCCCTGATTTTGGGAACCCTCGATGTAGACATGCAGCTCCTATTGCAGCCCGGCCTCAGGTCCCGGCGGCGGGAAGAGGTCTGGGGGCCTTTGAGGCCCATCGTCCGAAATTTGCTCGATGCCGCGCAGGCCCTTGACGTTGAAAACGCTGTGCAAAGTTTGATCTATACAAGGCTGTGCCCAAAAAAATGCAAGATTGGGGGACTCCGGTGAGAACAGGGAACTCCCTGTCACTACACGTGCTTGTCAAATCCCTTGGCTACCTCGGTTCGCAGGGTTTCGTTATTTCTGAAGTAGTTAAACCCTCAACCTCAATCTCATCCTCAGACTTTGGGATATTCAGGTTTCAGACGGGCAGGCGAGACCTGAAAAGAGAATGCCGAGGATTTGGTGCTTGGCGTCTATCGCTTTGCGAAGTGACTCCTTCAATATAACGAGTTGGATGATACGACCATGGCAGCAACTTTATCAGGACTCGCCCTCCTACCTGAAACTGACCCTGAACTTCTATCCGTACACCCTACACCTTGAACTCTACGTCTATAGTCAGCCTAAAGTAGATAGAATATGGCTTTGGGTATATTACAATAAGATCCCCATATACCCCATATTCTATCTACTTAAGGGGGACTATAAACCCTAAACCCTAAAGACCCTAAATAGTAGTTTCTATTTTCTTTCCCATCATCCCAATATCCCAATATACCCCCTACATCTACTTAAGGGGGACTATAAACCCGAAACCCTAATTTGATAACCCTAATCCCTAAACCCTATATTCTATCTACTTAAGGGGGACTGTAACTCAGAGAGGCTGTAGCCTCCGCTGCCGAGCTCAGAGGGCTCAAGAAAAGGATGGTCTACACGGCGCCCGGGCAGAAATGAAGTCTAAACTCCTTAAAGGGGGTTATATAGGGGAAAATCTAGGGTTCAGGATTTGGGGTTTAGGGTTTAGGGTCTAAACTCCTTAAAGGGGGTTATATAGGGGGTTATATAGGGGACTACTATAAAGGCTATTAAGGGGGATACTAGGAGTTTAGATTATGGCTCAAATGAAGGGAGGTCGTGCAAGCGCTTCAGGTTTTACCGTTAAAGTAGGGTGTTTGGGGGTTCAGGGGTAAGGGCTTAATGAAACAGCGGTAGTTTGGGGGATGAATAAGTTGGATGATCCTCGTGGTGAGATTGCGGGGTCCCCCTAGAACATTACGGCCGAATCGTGGTTGGAGCCTGGCGTTTGTGTTTGGATATTGTTTACAGGGCATGGGCTTCCTGCAGTTTAGGGCAACATATGGTGGACCAGGGTGGGGGGCGTCTAGGAACCTCATGACCTATTTGGTAGTTTCCCAAAATTAGGGGTACCATTTTGGGGGTCCCCACAATAAGGACTGTAGTATATTGGGGTCTATATTGGGGTCCCCCTATTTAGGGAACCCTTCTTTGCAGCAGTATATGCATTGGTTTCAATTGGATTGCCTGACGGAGTGCCGAACACAGTGCCCAAAAAGTCTCATTGCAGGTAACCACTGTGTGGTAGATTTCTAGGCAGGAGCTCTGGTAGTAAGGTCCATGGAGTCCATGTCCCGTTCGGGAAATCCGGGGCAAGGGGTTACATACCTGCGAGCCTTCATCTGAAAATCAGGGGTGGATCTTGGAATAGTTCACAGTGCTTGTCCACCCTGAACCCTTTGATTTCCTTCTGGCTGTACTCTGCCAGGTTGGAGTTCTGTAGGATCTCTCAAGCTGGGTAAAAATTGTTTTTGCGCCCCTGAACCGCTCAGCGAAGAGGTGCTTCTTTATGGCGGTTCCTGGGCGTATCTCCTGGAGAGACTGGCGTATCATCTATCCTACCTGCAGGTGCCCTGCTTGATGTGCTTGGGGTTTGGGACTGAGGTTTGAGAGGGGTTCTCTTAAACCCTTACCTGTCTGGAAGCCCTCTTAAGCCCTGGACTTTCCTTAGTCCTGAACCTGAGCCTTACTTAATCCCAAACGCCAAGCCCTTGCCAAGCTGCCGGGTTATTTATGCAGGTTCTGGAAATGAGAGATTAGCCAAGATCTAGGTCAACTCATGTCGATGGTCATCTAAGTTATGGTCCGTTTCGGGGCATCCATATCATAGGGGATGCAGTAAGCACCCCACCCCTAAAAGCGGACCATACTTTTTTGGGGGAATCTCCCTCATGGTTCTCCAAAGGGACCGATAGCTTTGGGAGACTTCCATGGATGGTGTCAGTTTCCTTTCGTTTTAAGCTGAAGCCCAACTTCTTGCCAAATTGTATGCATTCCCATGCGGTAGTTTCCAGAAATTGGGCTCCCCATTATAGACCTCCATATACCAGCAACCTTACTACTGTAGGGACCCCCCCAAAAGGTACCCCTGAGTTTGGGAAGCCCCTTTAGACTGCTTTGTGAATCGATTTGGTTTCGCTGGCCTGGTGCTGATGCCCGGCAAGTCCACAGGGCAACATGTAGCACAAAAGAGAGGCGGATTTGGCAAGGGAAACAAGAGTGTACAGGACGTTGCCACAAACAAGGAACCATGGGAGCTTTGTTGGACAGAGACGGGCCGTTGAGGCTGCAAGCAAAGTGTTGGAAAATTACATCCGAATGTTTAACTTAAGACTTTAACTTTCTTGTACCCCCAACCCAAGACCCTACTGCCTCCTCGGACCCCCGTGACAATGGAGCCATAAGTAGCCCCGAAACCATTAGCTCTTTATCCCAGGTTCTTTACCCCCTGCTGGTGATCGCTATTGGCGAAGATGCTGCGACGGCGTGTCGCGATCTGATGTCAGAAGATTTCGGTCTCAAGGTGGCGGGAAGCTCTTGTTGGACTCCTTAGGGTTTAGGGTTTGGACCGCTCTTGGTGGACTTCCGGTTGAGGGTCAGGGGTTTAGGGTCAAAGTTGTTGCCGCTAAACGTAAACCTCGCGACGCTCATGTCAATTATTTGTGGTCTGCTACTATGCTGTCTATGAAGTTCCCAAACAATCCCAACAAGCAGACCAACTGGGCAGGTGATCTGCTGGATCCCGGACACTATGTCACAGGCCGTGAGCAGTTGTGAAGTAGCCAGTAGCCAGGGATTTCTTGAACGCACTTTTCCTCATGTATGTCGGGGTGTCTGGGGAAGTTACAGTACATTGTTAATAGGGCTGTTCAGAGCTGTGCAGATGTAATCCATACCCTGAATTTGCAACCCCATCAGGTGCATCGTTTTACTCTCATCCACGGTCTGCTCCACTTGGGCATTGACGTCCTCTACACAGACGCAGGGTGTGCAAACAGCATGATCTGCTGAAGTGCCCAAAAATCCAAAGTTCCAATGACACAACCACACCTCATGAAGGGTTTACCGGTTGCCGGACAAGCACAAATCGCCATGCACCTGGTAGCTTCTAAAGCATTCTAAAGCAGAATCAAGAAGAATGACCATGGCCTCCTTGAGATTACAGGTATCAGCAGGATGCGTAAGTTAGGGGCATCCAGCTTTGAGAAATCTTGCCGGCCATACTTGCTCGCCAGAGAGGCTACTGCACCTGATGTTCAGAAATTGCTCTCTGACTCACCTGGTTTGGGACTTGGGGAGTGTCAGCGCTCACGTGATGTTAGGGTCTCAGGGCTTAAGGCCAGGCGGATGGGACCCTTTGACCTACCCCGTGCACGGTGAAGCAGTTCCGAGTCTACTCAGGCCCCTCAAAAACGATGCCTTTGTTTCTGAAATGATGTCTGCTCTCTTCTGGGGCTCAGGGTAACTTTAGGGATCTATGGGGTTATATAGGGTACATTGGGTTTATATAGGGATAATGGTATATAGGGATAATGGAAAAGAATACGGAAACTGCCTACTATAACCCCCCAAGGGTTAAACCCTATCTTACGTTTGCAGGTTCTTGACGAGGCGTGCGAGAGCTAATCCTTGCAACTATGCGACGGTTGCGAAACCCTAAAGCCAAAAGGCTTCAATTTTGCAGCCTACGCGTTTGTAAATATGTGACCTTGGTATACCAGTATACAACGTTCCTAGGAACTGGTATCATGTAAGCTATAGTTTAAACTCCTATTATCCCCCTCAATAACCTTTACTATACTCCCCTAAATAATCCCCTATGCCACCTGCTCACCTGCTTGGAGGAGTTCAGGCCTTAAGCCCTGAGGCCCGAACCCTAAAACCCTAAACCCTCCCCGGCCCCTAAACCCTAAGCCCCTCAACCCCCAAACCCTAAACCCCAAAACCCTAAACCTCTAAAACCCTAAACCCTAAACATCTTAACTCTCGACCCTAAACCCTCGACCATAAACCCTAAACTGCTCATATTGAGCTATAGTCTAAACTCCTAGTATCCCCCTTAATAACCCCTATAGTAGTCCCTTATATAATCCCCTATATAACCCCCCTTTAAGGAGTTTAGACTATGGCTCATATGCGGGCACCCAGGACATGGACACTTTCTGGCTGAGGGATCCCACGAGCCGGATTCTGGCTTCAGCGGAGGGCTTCTCATCTGCTTTTTTTGGGTGGATTTTAGGGTTTTAGGGTTTTTGGGTTTATGGGTTTAGGGCTTAAGAATTTAGAGGTTTAGGGTTTTGGGAGGGAGGGTTTTTAGGGCTTAGGGTTTAGGGGCCTTGGGGATTCTTGCTTACAGGATGAGAGTACTTGGTGAGAAAACTTATTTCCCCTTATCACTACTCCTTCCACACTTCCTGAGTCCCCATGATTCTTCAAGTATCCTTTTATACCATCCCATTGTTCACGTAATTTTTGCATTTTCTTTTTCAGCTGGTTCTCCCGTATCTCCCGCTAAACGTCCTGAACCCTGAGCCCTAAACCAGAAAGTCCAGACTGGTTTTGCGGTAAGCAGCTAGGCTGGGATGCGCTCTTTGCACGCCATGGTGACGCAGACTGCGTCAACATCGGTGTGCCCCATGGTCATGATTCAGGGTCATGTTTCTGAGGTGTAGGGTTTTAGGGTTGGTGGATGTTACCAAATGGACCTGTGTTCCATGCTCATTTTTTCAGCTCCCCGGGCGAGTTTTGTATGTTCTCCTTGATTTTGTCGTTGCTATGCTTGGGCATTACCCCCATTACCCTGAGTGGTCCTCGCTCTTGGTGTCGGGGTCTGGCAATTCGGTTGCGACTTTGTCCCTGTTATGTCAGTAGCATGTCCACGTTGAGGTTCTACCTCCGTGCTTCTGGGAAGACTGCGGTCTGGATGTCGCAGTTCATGGCATGGCATCACAGCAGCACTTTAGCTGGGTGTGAGTTCTGAGGAACGTTCTTGTTCACGACAAACCCAACATTGCAAATCACGAGTTTGAAAGTGGAAGGTTCTAGGACTTTCCGTGGGGGTTGAGGGCTGGCGGTGGGCTTCGCGATGAAGATTAAGGAAAGGCGCTTTAACGCGGCGCTTTCGGTAACTGTTAGGTCTGTTAGGTTGTCATCGAGGAGGCAAGATGTACTGTTGGTCCGTTACCCTGCCACCCTGACGCGTGCGCAGTCGTAGCCCTAAACCCTAAACCTCAAACAGTAGTTTCCATGTCCCTTTCCGTGATACCTATATAGCTATAAAATCCCCATCCCGCGTAGGAACTGAGGCACGTTTGCCCAGTTATCTGGGAACATGAACTGCAAAGAGTCCTAGCTAAGTGGCCTGACATCTACGCCAATCTAAGCGATGAAGGCCTTGATGTCAGACACTTTACTATAACCTCCACGACTTAAACAAATAAAAATAATAATAATAAACAAAACAACTAATGGCAATTCAAGTTGCAAAAAACTAGCTCTGAATACCGAAAAAGCTTAAATCCCAAACTCTAACGCCTCAAAGCGGGACCCCAGGTTTTAAAAACCTGAACAAAAGAGCCTCCACGGACATCACCGCTGCATGCTGCTTAGTGCCAAGCCAGTAAACAAAAGCCTCAGACCATAAACTTTCAAGTGCCACAGGAGAGTAGAAGAGTAAATCCTTGTAATGATCCCGATCGACTCCCCCATGCATACCCTATGAAGGTATTTATATGTGCAAATAAAAGAAGGAACTCGTAGTTGCCTTCCGCTCCCCTTGAGCACGGCATTGGCTGAAATGCCTAAGACACGAACCCTGATAATCTTGATGCCTATGGCAAGCCGGCAAGCCACGGCTGTTCAACAACTTGGGCACGTAAACGGGGCTTTCCCAAAGTTAGGGGTACCTCTATGTTAGTCCCCATAATCGGGACTATAGTACATTGGGCCCTAAACCCTAAACCCCTGGGGGCTATATTGGGGTCATCGTATTCAGGGAAAGTACCAAACGAACTTCATAGCCTTGGCAACCCTCGGTCTTGCAGATGTGGACCCATTTGGGCGGCAGTCTAAACTCCTTAAAGAGGGTTCCATGGGATTACACCCCGGTTTAGGGTTTAGGGTTTTAGGGAGTTTTATAGTTTTATAAAGGGGGATACTAGGAGTTTCGACCCTAAACCCTAAGCCTTAAACAGACTGTAGCTTGTTGGTCCTGTCCCTTTGGCTTTTGCGCTTTACACCCAAACCCAGGGAAATTGGCACTTCACCCGCAAACCCTAAACTCTATACGCTCTAGTCCCCCTAAAGTAGATAGAATATGGCTTTGGGTATATTATAATAAGATCCCCATATACCCCATATTCTATCTACTTAAGGGGGACGACCTTAAACCTATGCCGAAGGTACCACGATCACCCCTTCGAGATCGATCAGCGAGGGCTCCATGTTTTCCTGGGGCTTCCCGCTGCGATCTTGAAGATCCCCTGGCGTTTTTTAAGGTTTAGGGTTAGGGTCTGGAGGTGGCTCGTGTAGGTTAGTAAGTTAGTAAATATAAGCATAATGTGAGACAAGGTATTTTGTATTTGGTATTCTGACCTAAAGAGTCACCAAGGATTGCGTACTTGCCAGACGACCTGGTTCAAATCCGCGGCTCTGTGCATCGACAGCATTTGGAGCGCGTGCATTAAAAAGCGAATTCGGTTGTGGGGACACTTCTTTGAGAATTCTGACACAAAAATCGCGGACTTTCGACCCATAAACATGGACTCCGAATCATGGGGCAGTGTCGAACGTGTTGTAGGGACATCTAATTTGGGGCCTTAAATAGTAAGCAATATGTTGGTTCTAGATTACCTGCATAACCATGATAAAAGGGTACTTCAAGTAGACCTCTGAATGCTCATAAGGCAGTTTCCCTAAATGAAGGGACCCAATATAGACCCCAAACCATTATAATCCTTATGATGGGACTCCCAAAAGGGTACGTCTAATCTTGGGAGACCTTCCATAGTTGTTTAGGCCCTCCCCCAAACCCTAAACCCTAAAACCCTAAACCCTTGATCCGGCCCTGAGCCTGCAAAAAACTTTTCGACCAGGATGGGGTAAGATTGTCCCAGCGACCCCGACTTCCACATTCAGACGGTCTTCCCAGAACTGAGGTCCCCAAAAACTATAGGTTCCTCAGGAACTATGGCTAATTCTTATTAGAATACAACCCTAAAGAATTGTTAAACATAATCTTCCCAGAGCTGAGGTCCCAAATGAGCTAAAGTCTAAACTCCCTAAAGGGGGGTAGGGGATTATTTAGGGGACTTCTATTGGGATTATGAAGGGGGATACTAGGAGCTTAGACTATAGGTCTTATATACAACTAAGACTTGGGTCCAGAATAGAGGAATGCATGCAATGAGACAGTAGTCTTGCCACCTTCTCTGGTCTGAGTACATGCCTGTTGGTTGAGTCATGCCTTCTCAGAGGAAATGTCTTTGGGTGCTTTTTGAACCATAAGCCATGATGGACGCCCAGGTCCTTGATGACAGAAATGAAGTGGTCATTGGAGACATCGGCTGGGAGGGCACCTGGGGCCGTTTAAAATGTGTCTTCTGAAGACTGCTGATCGCACTGGTGGCTATGTCGGTTTTATAAGAAACCACCCCCCCAGGAGGAATTCTGATTTCCTCGCACCCGTTGTTCAACGGTTTCATGCTTTCCAGCTGACTGTTTCAATTCATTTGTGCAATCAAGCCTCAGACATTGAGAGATTGTTCCGCAGACCAGAGATCCTCCACGCGTCTGAGCTGTAGCCTAAACTCCTTGGAGCCTTAGAGGGGTGGGTTATACATGAGACTACATATAGGGTTCCTATTATGGGGCTTATTAAGGGGTATTTTAGGAGTTTAGATTAGAGCTCATGTGAATAGTCAATAACCCTCATTTTAGTACCCCCGTCATTGCAAGGATGGCGGGTGGGGATTGTCTAGGAGGTGGCAACTCCTTAAGGGGTGTAGTAGACATTCCCTTGATCAACCATTACACGCCTGAACCTTGAAGCCCTCAACCCACGAAAAGCAAAGGCACGCTCCCACAGATGCTGATCTTCCACTGGTGTCACCGCCCTATTGAGCTCAAGGAAACCGTTGGGTTTTCCTCTTCATTGCTCCCTACGGCTTTTAGGGGTTTAGGGCCTAGGACTTGTGAGGATGGAGAATCAAATGGAAAATTCTGTGGAAATTTGCATTTTACGGAGATTGCTCTCCAGAGTAACAACCCCCACCACCTGACAAAAACACATCCCCCAACGGCTTTATGTCAAGGCAGAAGAGGGTTACCTTTGTGTAGAGGATTGCAGAGGCACCACAACAAGAAAGGGAGTGGCAATCGGGTGCCTTGAGGCTGGAACTCGACTATAAAGCGGTGAGGGGTTTTGTGCCGCGGCGCAAACAGGGCTACGGTCAGAGGATGCGACCATGTCTTGCTTCAATAGAGGAGCGCGAAATCAACGCAGCTTACGACGCGTCTGGGACACTTGCATCACACAACTTTCCGGTATCCTTGGCTATCTCCGTGGTTGCCGGTGCAGTACCCCGCACTCCGTGGCTGGATCATGGTTATTGTTAGGCACCGGAAGCAGTTCAGCCCGTGTAAGTTTGTTCTTTGAGAAGCCCTACGCCAGTGGCTGAAGGCTAATCCTTCTACAATCCTGTAAGGGGCTCCACAATGTCCCCATCTATCACTTCCGGATTCCCCGTGGTCCTTATTGGCCCCGTTCATGTTGAGAAACTGAGGTGGGCGCATGTGTTCAAGCTGCGAGTTGTCCTGGATGCCTACCTAAACAAGCTACCTTCGGAGCGAACCTCTTGCTGGTAGAGAGCATCCCCAGATGGAGGTGGGTGCATCTAAACAGTATTTACACGTGCTTCGTTGGGAAGGCTCTTCATGGGGGTTTTCCAAAATTAGGGGTACCATTTTGGGGGTCATATTGGGTCCCCCTATTTACGGAAAGGCAGCAGGATAAGCATTCTTATGGGTGGTTAATTACATAGAGGCTTCTACCGGGAGTCGCTCCCCCTCTAATCAAGAATGGGTGAGATTCAGGGTTTGCGCTTACATGCCCTATATAAGCCCCATGAAGCCCCTGTATAACCCGTAACTGTATAAAGCTCCCAATATGTACCCTATATAACCCCAATATAACCGTAAAGTACACCTAATAGGAGTCCCCTTTATAATCCCCTATATAACCCTAATAGTAGTCCCCTATATAAGCCCTGGCAGATCGGAGGCGCGGAGCTCGGACCCGCCGTCGAGGACCAGTATGCCTTGGACCAGCGAAGGAGGACAGCCACTGCCTCCTTGGACCGACGGAGTATATAGGAACGATATAGGGATTATGTAGGGGTGTATATAGGGGTTATATACGTAGGAACTATATAGGGATTCTCTAATCAGTATCCTTGGGGACCTAGAATACCCTAAATAAAGTCTTGTCTCTTAGCAACCCTCAGCCCTCTTCAGTTCCCGAATCCAAGGAACAATGGCCATAAATCGAGCAGTGGTTGCCGTTAGCCCAGGGTGTTATGTCTGAAGGTGCGCTAGCTCTGAACTCTTGCTGCAAGACTCATATGGCAGTTTCCCGAAATCGGGGGGTTCCTAAAATTAAGGATTATAGCTTTTGGGGATGTATATTGGGGTCCTATTCAGGGAAACTACCATATAACTTCTAGACCAACAAGTCCTCCTGTCCTCCACTGAGCTTTGAAGGAGCTCGAGGCCCTTTGGGGGTCGTGTGGACGGATGGGCAGCTCCCAGCAGTCGCTGACTCGCGCTTGAGGCTTTGGACCCGCTCCTGGACTTTGGCGGAAGTTCGTTCATGGAGTTGGAAGGCTTGGAAAATGCGATTCGCCCGGACGCAGAGCTGTGCTGCAAGGGAAGCTGGCCGCGGCATTGTGGGAGGCGGAAGCAGCGACGCATGTGCAAAATTGCAAGCTCAAAACAAGTGAGCTGCCTTGCTCACATATGAGCTATGGTCTAAACTCCTTACCTAGGAGCATTATTATAGGGGCTATTAAGGGTGATATGGTAGTTTCCCAAGATTAGGGGTGTCCTTTTGGAAATCCCCATGTTCAAGATTATAGTATTTGGGTGTCCTTTTTGCTGTCCTCCTAGGTAGAGGAACTACCATATTTGCCAGATCAATGCAGATAAAGTTTGGTTAGCTTGTGCTAGCATGTAAGTTGAAAAACTCGTAAACGACGAGGAAGATTCTCAAGAATGCAGAATCATGCTCACCGCTTGTTACTAGGTGATGGGGTAATGGATCCCTATGGTACCCTTTGTATAACCCCGAGCATTGTAGCAGTGTCCCTTTTCTTTGCTATTGCTACTAAAGGCTCAAGGTCTTGATAGAAATCTTGCCTTCAGATTTCTTGCAAATCCAGCCGGGGCCCCCAGATTCTGATAGTGTCAAAAGGGATCTCAAGGGTCTAATTAGGGTTTAGGGTTTAGGGATTGGGGTTTTAGGGTTTAGGGTTTAGGGTTTAGGGATTGGGGTTTTAGGGTTTACGGTTTAGGGTAGGGTTGGGTTGAGCGGTTGAGCGGATTCCTTGAAATCACTTTTTATGGGCGTTTGGACATTTCCTTTTGGATTTGCCAATTCTAGAATTTTCCTCAGATTATTGATCACCCTTACGACCATTGTGTCCTTTTGTGCGGAGTTGGAAGTTAGGCTTGAGTGAATAGGGCCTTTAAGGGTTAGCGCTCACGGGCTTTGATGGAAAATGCGATTTGGGAAAGAGCTGCACGAAGGGGACCCTGATGCTACCCACACCCCCCCCCCTTATTTGCCCGCAGCATCTTCATGTTACGTGCGCATCCAAGGTCATAGC